TTGCTTTGGCTCAAGCCACATCATATGAAGGAAACATACAAAAAGGACGGCGGTTGTAGTAAAAAACGGTGAAGAATTATGAGACATCCTTATAGTCATGTGGAGGCATACCTTCGATAGTGTAGAGACAGAGCCTCAAAAGTGAAAGTTGTCTGATTATCTGTCCCTAATAAAAAATGAAAGATGTTCATATAAAATCAAAAAAGAACAAGATGCAAAACGTTCAGTAAAAGCAAAAGAAACTCTTGAAAATCGCGTAGAAACGCTGCATTGAGTTTGAAATCTTTTATTTGGAGGCACTGCAGGTTTTCGCTTAAGGACCACGTAATCCACAAGACGGGAGGAAACGAGGAAAAGCTAGTTTTTTCTTTGTGTTTTTATTGCAAAACAAACATGTTTCGGAAGTAATGAAGAGAAGACAAACAAGAAAAGAATTATTATAGTTTTCAAAAGGCAGAGTCTAGTTTTTACCAAGTCGAAATGCGCGTAGCCAACCTAGTTTTTGATGCGTCCTTTGAGTTTTTACCCCCCCCCCCCCCCGCTTTGTGGTTCCCGTTTTCTGGAATGTTGCCTAAATTTTGCTCTCAATATTCTGAGCAATACGCGTCCAAGCTGGAAAAAAATCGCTGCGAAAGCACTGAGACAGAATAAGGCACAGAAAAACGCACTTTTTGCGATTATTCACAAAAAACTTTGTTTAATCGAAAGATAAGTACTGGGTCGTTGTCTGTATTATGAACAAAAGCGAAATATTTAGAATGCATGAAAAAACCGCATGAAAATAGTTAAACTAGGAGAAATCAAGAGATTTTCGGAAACGAGGTCTTTGCCAGCTTTTTCAATCAAATCAAAAAATGTGGTTCTGGGACGTTGTGTGCGTGAGAATAGAGATCAAGAGCTTCAAAATGATAACTAGCTTGCTAAGATTGGGTTCGAAACAACGAAGAGAAGTGTACCAGAGCCAAATGCCCCGCGTCCCGCGTTTGGCGTAGCGAGGTAGCACGCAGCGCGCGGAGACGCAGGAGCAGCGGAGACAGACCAGAGCCGACGGGGCATTTGGCTCTGGCCGAAGATCTCCGCGAGGTCTCAATGAAACCCCGCAACATTATATATCATTCTGATCGCCATGACGCGACGAGGAGAACTGACAACGTTCCAAGCTTCAAAAATCACTAATTAATGAAATAGACCGGCGTTTTCGTGCTCGACTCTCGCAAGATTTAAGCGCAGTTTCTCGTTTTTTATTTAACACCAACAGGTTTCCTAAACTTTTGAAACTCTTTTGTCCAAATAACTAACTAAGAAAACTAAGAAATGTTGTCCTGAATTCTACCAAAAATTTTACAAAAACCTTCCTTTTAGCGTAAAAAGGCTATAAAAACGCAAATTCTTGGTTTAGATCTTGGTTTGATGTGGTGATCTATAGGTATTCTTCCCTATATTTGCTTCATTCACATTCGTTCCGATATAGTCAGGATTATAACATCCGGGGCTTCGCCCCGGATTACTTCTGTTTTTTTCCAGGTGAAGGTTGTGTCCCTCATAGCCCTCAAAGTGAAGATTATCAGATTATGTGGCTCTATGGATCGAGGGTATGTATGAAAATTAAGAGTGTCTCTCAAGTGCTTCTATAATTGTGTGATTCTAGGGCGCCAACCCCAGCTTGCTACTTCATCGAGAAACAGTTGATATGTGAATAGAAGATTGGCAGTTAATTTCTAAAACAAAAAGCGACCTACACTGAGAATAGTGATGTGTAGCTTTCGGCGGCATTTAAGTAGAATCGCTAAACATTATAGATTCTTGTTAACAAATCATTCCCCCCCCCCCTTCGTGGTCTATATTGTTTTCACAGGGTTTGGGGCGAACCCCCCCCCCCGAAAAAATTGTGTTCAAGCAATACCAGCAAAGTATGTGGAGAAAAAACTCACATACAATGTGCAAGATAATTCAACATACTTCCTGTAGTGTACCACTAAGTCAAACACAAGCTTTAAAAAAAGGCCATTGATGATGGACGTGCTCCATCATGGCTTGCGAAAGCGCGGTGAATTTGAAAGAAAACCAAAATTGACAACTTGCTTGTTTGAAGCGTGGAGACAAGCACATGACACCAAATTTGAACTGTAGATTTAGAATATAATTTACAGAAGAATTATGTAAAGAGTTGAAAACTTGTGTGAAGTGAAGTAATATCTTTTTAAACTTTCCAGACGGCCGCCAGACGATCTGAGATCGTTAAAGCATATGTTCTTGTAAGTTCTAAGTTTTAGATTCTTCCAACATGGACGGATTCGCCAATCAAAAATCTATCTTTGAGCATAAAGACATTTTCATATCATTACCTTTGCTTTGTTTTTTTTTTGCCTCAATTTCTTAATCGCTTCGTTAGATATTGCGCTCCAATGCCAAACACTTGTGCATGCGTAGTGTCCAGTCCACTTTGGATTTTCACTCTTTTTCACATTTTTCTTTCAGATCAATAACTTTTTTGTCTTCTCCTTAGTCGGTAGGTCAAAGGGGACTTATTGTTAGCTTCTAAAAGTCAATGGAAACTTCTCAGAAAACCTAGAAATCGACTCGTGTTGGGCTGTTTCTGAATCAAATAGTCTTACCCAATCAGATTATTGTTGATAGCCTCTTAACCAGTCAATCTATTCGTTTTCCATCATCCACGTTCCAGGTAAGGATCATATATAAAACAACATAGCCTTACCACTACTTCAATGGCTTTTATACAATCAGGGCAGAGGATCTTCAGTTTTCTTTTGCTCGCGCATAAGCCGTAAAATATTCTGTTTTCCATCTCAACGATACGACTTCAGATGTTCGGTTTCAAACGACTAACCGTGTATTCCTTGCTACTGATTGTTTGGATAGAGTCAGCATAATCGAGCATATGACGTATGAAGTTTATAAACTGTCAAGGCATGAAAGTACTTCATTGCTGAAATGCGTGCTCAGGTACTGACGACAGCTTCTGCCTCTTTGCCTGTGGTCCTAATTACGTACTTCTCCTTACCATAGACATAGAATAGTTATGAGTTTCATCTTGATTGCTGGTTTAGACAATATTCGATAATAGTCCGTAGTAAAGCCCCGTTAGAGCATCTCCCTTGAGGCGGACCTGAGTTGATCGCCTAAATACAGCATTCTGTGAGCCATCAATCTAGGTGAGAAATTTGTAGACATGCGCGATTCCAACGACAGAACATCTTCCCTATTTGCTTAGGCTTGGTCAAATAAATAGAGGTATCGCAAATCAACGTGCGTGGCCGTGGGTCGAGACTAGGCAGGCCTACGTAACCCTGCCATCCTTGACAGCAGCCACCATCAAAAATCGAGATGAATGTTATCAAAAACTTCATCTAGGAAATAAACAAAGCAGAATCATGATATTTCGGCATAAACCAGAAAAAATAAGAAATTTTGGGACAGAATTAGAATGAGATAAATGGAAAATTATTTTATGGAGATTTTAGAAAGCCCTGAGCAAACTCTGCAAAAAAAACGAAAAAAACTTGTTTTTCTTCTTCCATGGCTGCGATCAGCTAATCATCTATTCTCTTTTTTCATAGGCCACAAAACTGTGCATTTTTGCATGAATCTGCCTGCATTATAAGGGGTCATGAAGTGTACCCAGGAACAACTTACGAAATTTTTCTCTAACACTTCTCTTTCGGGAGATTATCGCTCACATCATCTCCCATGATTTGATCGGAAGATGATCTTTCTGCTGAACTTGACCTGAGGCTCACCTATCGGGTGACATTGTATATTTATAGCATAAGAAAGTGGGCGTTCTCATTTTACTGACGGAACCTCATGGGAGATTATGTCCCCTTAACAAGCTTTACCAAGGGCCAACATCTTTGTCAATTTTATCTGAAGAAAGTGTGGAAAAGCAACGGTTGGTTGTTCTGAAAGTCTGTGCGTCGTCGCTAATTATCCATTCTCATGAGCCGACCGTCACGACGAAGCTTCCTAGCACGTTACCATAGAGCTAGTCATATTCAGCATACCATCCACGTAGATTGCTCTTCATTGTAAGCACGTGGAGTAGCATCCAGTATTTCCAGTGACGTGTTCGTTGTTTCGGCATTGCATGGAATCAAAAAAGTCCATACCAATATTCTCGAAAGGACATCGAGGTTGGGTTTGCACTTCGTTTTGGAGTGGCCAGAAGGGCAAAAAAGCGGACGGTTTAGACCGATAATCCTTACGTGGAAGAAAGTGTTGTCGTAACATTTCCTTCGCAGTTGCTCGTTTTTGGGGATCCACACTCGTTGTCCGACGGCTTAGAGTGTGGTTCACTCCGCAGTGATTAAGCGTATGCGCAGCAATAACCGATTCACGCTTAGCAGAGTTAGACCCCTTTGGAATCTTTTCATATCTTGTCAATGTTGGAGAAACAGTACCAGCTGTCAGGTGTCTTGCTGGCGCATCTTTTGTATCAGAATTTGTTTCTGGCAGAATATTCCCAGCAATTTCCTTCTACTTGTTTTAACGGAAAATGATGGCCCCGCTTTGGCCCGGTTCTCGAAAAAGATTGGGAAATTATGGTTATTCTACGTCCAGTAAAGTGACACAATACCACATGTCCATGAACACTTTTTTTGAGAGGGTAGCCCAAGCTCATCTGCTAGATAGGTCAAAACTTTAGATCCTATCATCATAGCCGCAATATTAGGGTGTGGAGCTGTGATAGAGTGGCGAGCGGTGCTTGACTTGACTGATTGAGCAGCAGTAACGAAATTCTGATTGTTTGTAATATTGTGATGACATAGAGCTCATACTACTAAACGTGGCTGTCATCAAATGTTCCGATGGGCATTGTTCCCCCAAGCACGAGTATTAAGAAAAGCACTCGAGTATTTTTACTGCTTCATACTGGGGAAGACTCTGAAAACGGGAACTACGCACTTCATAAATAATTGAAAATTTTGGTGAAAAAGGCGCAAGAATTTGCCGTTCAACACAAATTAATTTCAATTTTTTACCTCATAAACAATGCGAGCGTAAGCCACACCAAAATCCAGCTTTTCCAAAGGCTTTGGGGGTAATATACGAGCTCTTATTCCACTGCACGACATGTCCAACCATCGATGTTGTAGCACTGGACGTTTACGAACAATATCACTGATGTATACCTCAAAGAGCTCATTTTTTCAACAAATTAAGACACACCCAAGTTGTTGTACTGACCTTGTCTCCAGTAAGTAACCTTTGACAAGAGACATGCTCAGTCTCAGGTTTATGAGGAAACACAGGCTTGTTTATGATTTCGAGATCAAACAGCGCATGTCCGAAGGCTGCAATAACGTTGAAAGTTTGGAGACTTTGCAAACATGGGTCATTTTCAATATACACAACTAGGAACATATATGCTTATATACATGCACTAGATCGGCCAAAGTAACTTCGCTTCCGCAAACGGGCGCTGCATCCCGTAGAACAAAGAGTCTCGAAACCTGGTCGTATTCAACACCACTTTTCATCCTCTTTCAGATGGTTACGATTGCATTGCAGTGAAACCGGTGAGTCTCAAAGGCAGCGGGCAAATTTACAGCTTTCGTACTTTTGTCATTCTTGCGTCTTTTCATGACCTTCATTCCACGCTAACTTCAGATCACGTGAAATATCCCCGGAAAGCCCATTCTGGAAACCCTATTTCGTTAAGAGCGGACAAGTATTCCGACGCTAATTTATTGAGGTGAAGCGTGAAAGCATGTATCACAGACACTCTTTGTGGTACAACATGAAAGCAATGTGCAGAACCCGTAAGCTCTTTGGCGTAGGTGTATGGCCAGCAAAAGGGTTGAGCGAGTGGCCGCACTGAAACTTTACAAATCGTGTTTTCCAAGAGGACCTAATGATTGGCTTTAGTTGAGGGGCGACCAGTTAAACCGTATCAAAAATCTGAGAAAAATCGATTTTGCTTATTGACACGTTGACTCTTTCCACGTCTATCCTCGTGGACGAGACGTTTCCATGCACTTGTACGCTTGGCGGTACGTATATAGCACGCACTTGCGCGTTAAGTATGACTGTACAGTAGATTCCAGCTCAGTTTAGGCGGAAATTGACCGGCGGGAATCCGCTTCGCAACGATTCGCGCCGCTTTGCAGTCTGCGTCTCTTCATTCTAATCTATCTCGCTAGGCAGTGGCGGCGCGTACGCGCTACTCCACTTGGAATGTTTCGCCTATTCCGGGTTGAAAAAGACTGTATAAGCGGGCAAGGCAGCTCCGCCTTTTTGTGGCAAGCTCTATCCACTCGGTAAAATAAATTCTGTAGCTTAAATTTTAGGCATTCGTGCAGATTCCAGCGATTTTATCAGCTGGTGAAGCTCATGACAGAGGAGGCGGAGCCTGCCTGACGAGTAGAGACCTAAGTTAAAGGCAGTGTTACGGCAGATTTTGCATTCACACATTTCTGCATGTGTTAGGACTTTTTGACACGTAGAACCCGAGTTGAACCGGCTGAAACCGTTTTTGGGACGTTTATCCAGTTTCCAAAAAGCAGTTTGGACGAGAATTCTGAGAGGAAGTTGGAAAGACCCAGCACGAAGACCCTGCCGCCTGTAATTTTTACCTTAGGTAGCACGCACAATGTGAGAGCGGACGTGGGATCCCGCGCCGAACAAGGCGAAGTTGTTAGAGCGCGCCGGTGGGATTGCGCGCGCCAGTTTCAGGACTATTTTCTCGGCGCAAGGGTAACATCAACCAGCCGGACTGAGCGTGGAGGTCAGTAACCAGAAACACCACCACAGCTTCACAGCGTGAATCTGCCGGGACACTGAAATTTATAGTGCTGCGCATCATTTATTGGCGCTGTTGTCAACCTCTTGAGGAGGTGCCAAAAGTTACTACCTTTAACTAGCGCCACGGTCAAGTTTCGCTAATCTCCCAATTCAATACTCATCACCGAATAAGTGAGGTGATGAATGGATAGAGCAAGCCTACAGATTACAAAACAATTGGTTTTTTCTTCTTATGGGTCGCTATAATTCTTTGTTATAATAGAAATTTATTGATGCTTCAGATTCTATATTCGGTCAACTCTGATCATGGAACGTTGAACGAGCAACTGTCCTTTGCAGCTTTTCCTCTTTTTTTACCGTTTTAACAAGTTTTGTTTGCTTCGATTCACAAGATCTCGTAGATGTTAGGTTGGAAACTAAGTTTTGCGACTCATTCAAAAACTTTCCTCTCTTTCAACATGGCAATCAAATTTTGCCATTGTGTAGATTATGACTTTGGTTACAAGAGAAGCTTCTGTCCTGCCAAATTCTAACCTAGCAGTGGGGGTTACGGTAGGTATATGATATAAAGGAAGAGATATAAAATTTTTGAGATTTGACTGAAACTTGGCATAACGGGGGTATCCGACATGCTCATCATGAAGACAATACTAAAGTTGAGTGATGAGGGCTTTTTTGTAGGATTACTTTAGGGTTACGACATAGGGTTTCATCCTAAACAAGGAAAGAAACTTAGTTCCACAAATAAATGTGATATTCGTGCTTGGCGGGTCAAATAAGCTTACTATATGAAGTCTTGGCGAATTTTAAGGTTATGACTTGTTAGTCATTGATGGTTGTCCGCAGCAGTCATGCGTACAGCGGACTAGTTCGAATTTGTGATTGCGCCCAAACTCGACATGTATTGAAGTTTTTTTTACTGAGATGAATGAGTCAACCTCTAGCAATAACTCGTACATGATTCCGAATTATTGCGCATAGATCGCCAACGGCTTTAGTTTGGTTTATAACCCCAAAAATTCCCAAATTCACCAGTTTTGGAAAATTGCCTGGTATTCTCTGATTCGTGTCCAGAATCTAAACAATTGTGCGCAGTTGTAGCACGAAAATGTTGTAAATAAGTTCTCCCTCGCAAACAACATTTTACGCTCCAAAAATGTCCTTTTTTTGCCTGCAAAATGGCGTGGCAGAAGGGGAATGAACCCAAGACTATCTTCAAAACCATGATGAATGTCTTTTAGTACATTGATTAAAACATGAATGAGTTAGGCAAACATTCGTCGCAAAAGAATTCTTATCTGCCATTAGAATGCAAATTATGATAAATTAATCAATCATAACAACTAAAGTGAATTGTTCCGTATTCCTGAACTTTTCTTATTTGCTAATTTATTTCATTTCCTATTGAATTTCAGCGTCGCCGCTTGTAAATGTCAGTAGCAGACTAATGATATGCTCCTTCATCAGGACCACCCATTTTTCCGCGACCACACCACAGTGCAGCCAGATCTTTGTAGAATTTTTCTACTTACCCGATATACGCATATTTTTGGAAATCTAGAACAATTGAGTTTACGTTGAGCATTACTTGCTCCAGTATCACCAAGTTGTAAATGGATTTCTCTTCCTCTGACTCATAATCTCTGATTAAGGTCCATTGGCACCCTTTGAGCTGATCTGACACTCGTCGATGCGGATAACCGCAAAAGAGTAGAAAAAGGGGTGGGGGTGGGGGGGGGGGGAGAAGGGAGGGGGAGGTTTGTACGGATGGGTATCTCCAGGGGGGGAGTGTAAGAGAGAGTCCCGGATCGCATCAAAACGCTTGACCCTGTCAATCTTGAGATTTTGAGTAAGCAATAAATTTAATAACTTGGCCCATACTATTCCCTCTGCCAAACTCCCGAATTGGGACGGCTATACTTTGCTTTCAGAACCTGTCGTCAATGGAGAGTCAAAAACAAGATGATTCAAGGTGCAAAGTATACAATTTTTGTACTTTTGAGCAGTTTGCAGAAGCTTTTCAAATATGTCGAGGATTTTGCGACCTAAATTGTGAGCATTCGTTTGAGAAGATTGTTATTTGGACAGGATGTTTTACGCCCAATGGTTTTCCTATTCGAAAGCATCAAACTTTTCAAACCCTCTTGGTTGAAAAGCGAAGAATTTGATAGATCACAATTGTGACTGGGAGCATTTAGAGGCACATGTACGTACTTAACATCACACAAAATATTAGAAAGGATAAAAACAAAGAATGCACACGAACTCATCACTAATAATAGCTTAGGTTGGCTCAGAGCGGGGCCAGACTTTGCGAGATACGCGGCGTATATTTACCATTTGCGGAGCATGCTGCGTAAGCTGAGAATACTGACAAAGCTTCTTGCCGCCACACTGATATGAACTGTTTTGTAGTACTCTCGGTAAGGATCCATACGATAGCCATATCAGTGTACCGATCAAGAGTTGGTAGATATACGCCGCGTACGAAGCGAAGTTTGGATCAGTTGATGTAAAACCCCTTGTTCGTGGCACACCTCTTAACACGCGAGTAATCAATCGTTTTGAAAAAGCATACAATTTTCCAGAACTTGCTCTTGATTATGGCTCCTCTATGGAGAGTATGGTTTAACACACTTTGGAGGATATGCATTTATTACCTTGCCAATCTACCCCTCCCCTCATCTACCTTGCTTGTTTCGCATGTTATTTTCGGAAACTTTGCACATGGGCAAATCCGGGCACCAATCATGCCGATGAATTCCCTTATATTTTGAGGTTATCATGTTGTAAGTCAAGCATCTGCAGTAAAAGACATACCTTGTACTCGGGCAAATGCCTGCTTTGCATCAGTTATAAAATCCGAAACCATATATAAATCCAAAACTCCAAGGCCAATGACGAGCGTGTATAAGTAGCATATTTTCTTTGAAACCATCATCAACCTGAAGTGTTTGATGGATATGTGATTGATTTAGATTTATCTGTACTTTTGCAAGAGAATACAGATTTCGTTGCCTGTCAAAGCTTGTTATTAGAAGGCATTTAAGTTCATTTGTAATTTTTTCCTAACTACCTGCCGAGAAGGTAATGCCGAAAAACCAAATCTTTTTGTCGAGTGCCTCTATCATGCAAATTCTTTTTGGCGAAAAAAAGTATATGAATCATGCAAGCAAAGTGTTAATAGCTATGGTGGATGAATTCTTGATAAACTTGTGGCACATGTTTTTCGAAGCCTGTTGTTGCAGAATTTCGCGAAGCAACTGATTTGGTTTCTGCAAACTCCTTACAGCACATATTTTTTTCGAGTTGTCGTTTGATGTTCAAAACAAACATAGTGTTATAGAAAGGGGAAAATATTGCTTGGCAAGATTGCACAAAAATATTAATGTAATAACTTCGGGAATCTTGCGAACACTTGGTCAATGAATATTGAGAAGTACCATTTGATTCAACTGACTTGGCTTGGGAAGACGGGACTCCGTGACCTAATTAAGGCTAGCTAGTGATCAGAAAGCACACGCGCGGGAGAGAAGCAGTTGCGTTGCGGGCGCGGCGGCTTTAATTACGTCACAAAGCCCCGCCTTCTCGAAGCCAAGCCAGTTGAATCAAAGGTTACAACTGCATGAAGAAATACTTGAATCGCTGCACACTAATTGTTTGTTTGAATAATCAAATGGCGTGGTGGATTTTTTCTCATGAGACATGTTTAGAAGCATCAAATTATATTTTTTTTTGTAACTAAGAGAAGCTTAAACGTTTATGCTCTTTTTAACACATTTCTTTTTACGTTTGAAAAAAGTGTTTGAATGGCTCATGTTATGTCTTGTTGCTGTCACAAAGGCTGTTATCTAAGCAATCACTTTCCCTTCTATGAGAACTATACAAAGCAACAATTATGCAAGTTATCTGCACTGATATCAAGTGAAGTAGCGCTTTAATTTCTGAAGCTTTGTCGTTGTGTATATGTATGTCCATGTACAAGAAGTGAGAGATGGGCTTGCAGCAAATAATACCTGGGGCAAAAATTTGAGTGGCGTTTCTCATTTGACTGCATTATAATCATCAAATGATATAGTTGACTATACGAAATCGAGCGAGTTAAACGCTCGCGAGCATTTCTCTTGCGAGCTAACATTGTCATTCGCGACATGAGTCATCATCCTGCAGTCGACTTTACCACCACTCATTTTTAGAACAATAATATTTATTTGAGCATCCGCTTGAATATGTCAAAGTTGCAGATCTCTGTTTATTTGTAGTACAACTGCTGGATAATTGGCTCCCATTCAACTTAGCGAGTAATTTTTATGCTGAGCATATGAGTCGAGCTTTCAACAAATCTAAGAAATTTCAAAGTTTAGTTGAGATACATAGTGAGTTGTCAAGAAAGTTTCGTTGGTTTCAAGTGACTATAAAATCCCTTACATAAACACACGAACGTTTAAACCTGCATTCGCTGCAGCTTTTCCTTCAGTCTGAAATGTCGAATTCCACAATTCCTTGAAGGATACTGTCGAAATGTTGGTCGAAGTTTGATAGATGCGATAGGTGGATATTCTGTCTCCCTCCCCTTCACTTGGGCCGGTATCTGGATGACTCCTTCACTTTAGGTTAAGCTGAGATTCAATGCCAACGACAGAATGAAACCCAACACGCAAAGATGCACATTTTATTTGGAGTTGTCAGCTGCTGCTTCTTCTCAGTCAGTGCATAACCGCATTTTTAGAAAGCATTGCGCAACACCGTTTGCTGGGAAAACGCATGCTAGAAACTCCCTTTTTCACTCAGAATGGCATTTTGATAACGAAATTTACTGCAAAATTGAGAGGATGTCAATTTTTTGATTAAGTAACATTATCGATGGATACACATTGTCGCAGGAAAGAACTGAGCATGGCTAGAAAGTCTGGAATGGATAATGATATTAGGTCGTTCTGAAAGTATTGTCGCTCTTTTCAAACGTACGCCACATCTCGTAGAACAAAGATATGTAAGGGAAGATTCTGGAAGCATTTAATGCAGCATTTCATTTTCTTCTCAATGGTTATTGAAGCATTGCATAATAATCACTAAGCTCTTAAAAAACTACCAAAAACTGCGACCCATGCTTTTTGAAAAGGTCAAGTTTTACAATTTTTCTAAATTCTTATAACAATTCTTGGAGAGTCCAAGTAATGGACGGATAAAGCAAACCCTACAGGAAATAGCACAACTTTTTTCTACTTTCCAGAGCTCGTCATGATTTTTGTGTAGATTTTTTGGTGAAACCAAAATTTCGGTGATGGAACCACCGAATTTTAGCAGGCTCGTCTCAGACACAAATGCATCAAACATCAATAAATCTTCGGATTTTGAAACTCACAAAGATGGGTTTTGGTTTGACACTAATTTTACGAACCAAATGAGCATTCACCGCTTCAAAATAGCAACTTTCGAAAATTTTGGGTACAGCCTGGGCGCCCTGGAAAACCTGCATTATGATGATTTTATCTTGGAAAACTTGATGAATCGGAAACAAAAAACAATTGGTAGAAAGAGGAGAAAAAGCTGCGTCGAATGACACCCGAGTTGCTTGCCGGTTATTGTTCTGTGAGCTTTGAGTTGACCAAATATGAAATTTGATGGCATTAAAAAATTGACTCCAAAAACTCTAACAAGGGAAGGATACTCGGTCGAAGTGGCCATTTGGAATGAGCTGTATATCAGGAAACCGTCCTCCGTAAGGCAAACTCAAAACTACTTTCGCTAGGTGCCGAGCGGTTTTGTGGGGGGAATTACAAGGCCATTTTCCTCCGGCGCAGCTGGTGCACCCAGTGATGAGCGAGGCGCTAGAATAACGCAGTAGTGTGGCGGTGGCGCACTGGCAACGCGGCGGACTACGAAGCAGATGGTCGATGGTTCGAGTCCTGTTGCTGCTACTTTGTTTTGCAGTTCTGTAAAAAGTCTATTGGGTGGCAGCAAACAAGAAATACTATTTCCAGGCAGTCGAAAAAAGCTAGTTACTACGAAAAAAGCCACTATTTCTGCAATAAGCTATAATAACCTAAAGTATGTAAATCTGTGGAGGTTATGATGTCACAACAAGGGATTCAAGTGATATATTAACATGTATGGAATACAACCACAAAATGCTCAAAGTAGAAGAGCTTCTCGCAGCGCGCACATCGGATAAAATGAAACGATGACAATCAGCAGCTTCACAATTGCCTATCAAAGTCGGTGAAAAACAGTACTGAATAGGAGACTCGAATTCGCCGGCGTGGTTGTGAATGTATCCGGCTGCATCCATGGGTATGAAAGCAAATTTTTGAATCACGGCGAGCAAAATTGTGTGTAAATGAGCGATAAGATCTAAAGGATGGAATCCCTATGATGCAAGGTAAAGTTCAGATCAAGAGCCAATAAATGGGATGTGAATCGATTGCAATTTTGCAAGTGCGCGCGGCGAGAAGCTCTTCTGCTTTGAGCATTCTGTGGTTGTATTCCATGCATGTTAATATATCATTTGAACTCATTGTTGTGACATCATAACCTCCACAGATTCACATATTGTAAAAATTATGGCTTATTGTAGAAATAGTGACTTTTTTGCAGTAAATAGCTTGTTTGAACTGCCTAGAAATAGTATTTCTCGTTTGCTGTCACCCAATAGACTTTTTACAGAACTGCAAAACAAAGCAGCAGCAACAGGACTCGAACCCTCGACCATCTGCTTCGTAGTCCGCTGCGTTACCACTGCGCCACTGCCACACTGCTTCGTCATTCTAGCGCCTCGCTCATCACTGGGTGCACCAGCTGCGCCGGAGAAAAATGGCCTTGTAATTCCCCCCACAAAACCGCTCGGCACCTAGCGAAAGTAGTTTTGAGTTTGCCTTACGGAGGACGGTTTCCTGATATACAGCTCATTCCAAATGGCCACTTCGACCGAGTATCCTTCCCTTGTAAGAAGCAAGCTAACAAAAAAAGAAATTACTCTGTGTTCTATAGGGTTTGCTCTATCTATCTGCCACTTGCCCTTCACTTGAAAATAAATGCAAAAATTCAGAAAAAAAGCCGAACTTGACCTGGCAGAAAGCATGAATCGCAGATTTTGGTAATTTTTCGAGAGCTCATTGAACATTGTGCAACGGAATTACAAATTTTAGAAAGATGATGAAATGCTGCGTCAGATGCTCCTACAATCTCTTGAAAATGTTGATTCCGTGGAATGTGGCGCTTCCTTTTGAAAAAAAACGACATTACTTTCGGAACGACCTAATAGATGCATATTCACTGACACTTAACTACATCTTCAATCATTGAAGACCATTTTTGTGGTTTTCGATCTATAGAAGAAGCTTCGGAAAATTTTTTTCGATCCTGAAACAATGCAAGGAATAATTGAACATAATAACCTCTCTGCTCAAAGAGAAATGACATTTCGTCTAAAAACATGCGTGCTTTTTGGAGATTCCCATGTAGGGAATGGACAAAAATGGTTGATTAACTAACTCTGTTTCAGTGTAAAACTCTACCAGGATACGTGGACCTTTTCCTTTTTTTCCCTTCCTCTTTCGCAATGGGCGCAAAGTGATCGCATAGTTTTAGAAGATGTCGCAGCTGGATAAAATTTCTTATATGTGGATTCTTGAGAAGCACTCTACCATTAAACGTATAATTTTTCTTTTCTCTATCCATCTTCTTACTTTCGAAAATGATCGCAAGCGATCGCATAATTATCGTTGTTAAAACACGAAGCTTTCTTACATTGAAAAAATTAAAGCCAGTCTTTTGAAAAATACTTTATATCATATTCCTGTACACCCAGCCTCATGCTGCCTTTCCAAAGAAGGCATGCGAGAAGTCCTCTGAGCAAACACCCCGCTGCATCAAAATGCAGGCATGTCTCATAAAAAATCTCGAGTAAAGGCGAGGGCGTTTCCCGGAAGCGACGGCATTCGAGCCCGACGAATGCGAATAGTGAGCGAGGGTTACCGTCTCAGCAAGGTGAACAGGCGCGGCTAAAACGGCTAACCAGAGTCTCCGTCTAGCTACCATCAACATGGGTACACTCACCTCTCATTCTCGAGAGTTAGCAGATTTCTGGAGACGCGGCGAGTCGATGTATCATACAGGAAACTAAGTGGCGCGGGCAAAGCCAGGCGACATCGGAGATGGATATAAGCTCCTCTACAAGGTGCGATCTGTACCAGAAACGTGGTTGGTAGCTGTCTCGGAGACTCTAAGGATCAATATAGTTGAGCGTATAAACGATTGTCTGATGAGCATAAAGATAGATACTAGGAAGGAGGTCCTACGAGTTATCACCGCTTATGCGTCACAAATAGGAGGAAGGATGATGAAAAAGACGCGTTCTGGCAGGAGCTGGATGATCACATCAGTTCAATTCCATTGGCAAAGACACCCCTACTAAGAGCGGACCTCAACGGACACGTGGGAGAACGGCGAGGGAAGCCGGGAAATGTCACGGAGGCCACGGGTACGGAACATGCAATGAAGAAGATGAGGGCATTTGGAATTTGCTTTGGCTCAGGATATGGTCTTGGCAAACACATACTACATCAAGAAGGATGATCACCTCATAACGTATGCAAGTGGCGACCGACGAACACAGACTTTTGAGCTATTCGACAGTGTGACCTCAAGAACGTAAAGGATTGCAAAGTTATTCACGGTGAGAGATGCATACTTCAACATAAACCTGCTTCTCGACACCAAAATAGCAGTGGATAAGCACATCCTCAGATAATCGCCGGAAGCAGGCGGTCCGCAAACTCGAGCTTTTCTGCAAGCGGTCGGCAAAACTTTGGGGCATGGTCATACCTTCAACGAGCGGTACTTCCGCCTTCTGCCAGGGGCGGCAATAATCATAAAAAATTTTTTACTGTCTTTTACATTTTCAATGCGTCAACTATGACTCTAATCCACAACTTTTCATTATTGTATTCCAAATTTTAATTTTCTGCAGGCGCTTATATGAGGTTTTATGAATTTTTTTTTTAATATGAGGTTCCGTCAGGTGAAATGACGACCGCCCACTTCTCCATGTTAGGCCCCGGGCAGACTTCACGCGATTTGATCGTCGCGACTGAGTCGCGACGAGACAACTGTTACAACATCATTCCATGCCGATCAACTTGCATTCGGTTGTGATACTTTTCCAGCCCGAAATTTTTGAATGTGAAATGAAAATGAATGGAAATCTTGGCGATTAGATCGCGACGATTAAGTCGCGTGAAGTCTGACCGGGGCCTTATAAAAATGCAACGTCATTCGACATGTGAGCCTCAGTCATGTTCGGCAGGTAAATGATCTCCCTTACCAAGTCATCGGAAATGATCCGAGCAATGATCTTCCGAAGTAGTGTGCTAATCAGGAGATTGAGAGAAAATTACTGTAAGTTACTTCTGAGAACTTACATTCACGTCAGATCAACATGTCGGACCTGCTGAGTGAGGAGCTACAGTGTAGGCTGGCAATCTTCGACAAGATCTAATGTGCGGCCACATCTCCGCCGCCAGTAACACCCACAAAGATGTGAAAGTTTGGCAGACGGGTGTTGACTTGTATACTTGCATGAGCGTGGCGTACTCAATCGTATCAATATGGAGGTTGGAAACATCAATCCATGGCTCAACTGAGGCACATCTAACTCGTCGAAGCTTCGACTGAAGCTTTCCTCACTTGAGATCGAATGAGGCAGTTTTACTACGAACCTCTACATAACAAAGGTGTCATCGATGGTTCAATTACCTGAGTTTGGGGTACTTTCTCTCAGCTCAGGGTTTCCACGGGCTGTGCGGTCCTTCACAAAGGACCGCGCGGCCCTCAATAATTTTGCGTATTCTAGCGGAAGGTCAGCGAGAGTGCGGCCACTGCACCGCAACTAATCTATGAAAAAGGCGCAGATGTTCTCCAAGCATTCGTCTAAAATTTCGCCAAAATTCTTGATGGAGATTGAAAACCAACAACGCGGCGGAACAAGCACTGTCAACCACTCTACAAAGCTTGCAAGAAAACCAAGAGCGATCCTGCGAGCTTGAAAGATCGAGTCCACGAAGGGGCACACATGATCCTGGAAAGTACAAAGCCAGGAAAAAGAAGGATCAATCGAGAAACGTATGGTGGAATGACAAAGTGCAAAAAGTCATAAAGGAGAAGAGGGATGCCTACAAGCAAAGGCTTGAGACAAAGTCGGAGGACGATCGCCAGACATGCCAACAAGCCAAACACGCTGCGAAAGCTTCCGTGAAAAAAATAAAACAGGTGTACTCAAAAGTGCTCTACGACCATCTAGAGTCTCGCGATGAAGAACGTAAGATATACCGGAGAGCGACTAAGAGCGCAAACTACAAAGATATGGTACACTTCCTCCATTTCGAAGACAAACTTGAGGGCGCTGAAAAAACCAAAGAACATCATCAAAAGATGGAGAATTTACTTCGAAAAAATGGCACCACAGGCCGCACCATCAACTCCATCCCAGAAGCTAGTCCCATAGAAGGACCAGTACCGGCAATCACGGAAGAGGAAGTATGGCTAACCTTAAGAAGAACAAAGAATGATAAAGCGAGTGGTCCAGATAATATACCAAGCGAGTTCTAGGAAACATCCGGACAATTCGGAGTCTCATGCTTAACATGTCTCCTCAATCATATCCTAAGAAAGGAGAGTTCGCCTTGCGAAAACGAAAGAGACATAGCAGACTGTCCATCCTACCACAAATTCGACTAATGAATCACACTCTAAAAATCTTCAAGCGAATTATCAAAGCGCGTCTTCGAGATATCACAGAGTTGTCACCGAATCGGTGCGAAATCGTGAAAGGAGTAAGTGCAACTGACGCAATCCACTCCGCTTGATAGTGATGGAGAAATACAGAGACAAGCAGAAGTTGCTTGCGGCCTTTCTGGGCCTGGAGAAAGCCTTTGATAAGGTGCCCTCAGATCATATGGCGGGCCATACGGAAACACAGGGAGCCAGAGGATTATGTTTAGTGGATAAAGTTGATTTATCACAACGCTTCAAGCCACGTGCAAACACCTGCAGGGCAATCGCTGCAAGGCACGTCAAAACATTTACTGCATGACAGCCAATGCGCTTCTGATCAATGGAATGAAATGGAATCAATGGAATAGAATGAGATATTGAATGAAATATTTTGAGAATCAGGAAAATTCTTCGCTGTTAACAGCCCAAGGCACTGGCAGCAACATCGTAAATGCACTGAACAAATAAACGGAGCTTCCAAAAGAGGATAAATTTTTGAACTGAAGGATGTCTAACTCGTTTGCCGATCAGTGTTATGGTTTAGTGACCGCTCAAAAACCGACAAAGCTTTGGCACAAGTTCCACACAGTTGTTTGACCATATCTAACATCCTTTCGGGTGACTCTTCATAACAAAGAAGATTTTCCGAGCAAGTCAAAGATCGAGAACTTTAATGGTTGCTTGGACTGCTACATCAAGAAGCGATACGTTTTTACATATATACCAATAGTGAAATCGTAGCGAAGGGACCTAAGTGTGGTCCTTGCCTCCGCAGAAACAGAAGATACCCTAGCCCGGAATCAATGCCAACGGTAAGTGAGGATCTCTGCTATGCAACATTCTTTGACCTTTTCCCGTAATATTATGTAGGGTTAGACCGCAATTCATTACAAAAATGGTGGGCCTGCACCTCACTTTATTGGCACCATCAGGCTTTTTCGCAGCATAGCCAGTGCAATCCCGTTTATTGGTGTTCCCCTTGATTATTTCGTTTTCCCGTGGACTATATCCCGTGATCCCTTGCAAACCGACAATACAAACCGCGCACTAAATGCCCAGCTTTGCCATCGCTTTATTCAACTGCACCCATAAGCAGTATGACAACACTAGTGGAGACGGTGAAGTCGTTGGGTAAGGAAACGCGGTGCATACGCACGCAGTGTAACGATGCTGTTGCTAGGCCCCTCAGAGGCCTAACACTCAGTGTACACAAACGATCGCAGTTCAGTGCAGTGCCCAATGCGCGAACCAAAAATGTGCGAGAGGCATGTGAAATCCCGATACAAATGTAATGTGCCCAGCATAGATCTCTGGGTCTGTCTTAGTCTCCACGTGCAAATCCACAGTATTAACTGTATCAACAGGTTTTGTGACAGAAAGATTCAAAGGTTTTGTTTGTATAATCAACAGTATCAAAATAGTCGATAAGGTAGTTAATAGTGAAAATAAAGTTTGTATTATAGATAGATTTGAAATTTTTCAAGAAAGAGTTAACAGGTTTGATTGGTTGGATTAGTGATTGGATAAGGACTAGTGGGTTAGACAATGTAAAAGGAAGGAATCTGGATACCATTTTGGACGACTTCGGTGGAAGTGTTTTGGGGTAAAGAATATATAGTTAACACTGGCAGTGAGTTAGATTTCTAAATTACGATGATCTTAGGGTTCCTCCTGAAATAAAGAACAGTTGGTATTGTACTTGGGTCCGAATCGAATAAAATTCGATCATTCGAATAAAACATTCGAATATATTCGTATTCGAAATTCGATATTCGGAGTTTTTCAATTTCGAATAATATTCGAAATTCGAATAATTGAGAAAACGGGGTTTCGAGTAAAATTCGAAACTCGAATAATCAAAAAACAGGGTTTCGAATAAAATTCGAAAACTCGAATAATCAGAAAACGAGGATTCGAATATTATTCGAAAACTCGAATAATCAAAAAACGGGGTTTCGAATAGATTTTATTCGAATGTTTTATTCGAATATTTATTCGAATTCGCATTCGAATGAACTCCGTGTTCAGATTATTCGACTTTGTTGCAGAGCCAAGTGCTGAGTATCAAGCTCACTTCGTCCTTTCTTTTTTCGCAAAACTCGGCAATGCATCTTTTGCAACAGTTGTGACCTTTATGTATGGAGAGTCGCATTCTTCCGACTGCTTGCGACAGTAAGAAATCATAGTGGATTTCAATTGATGCTATTTCGATCAATGAGATTGTTTGCACTGCTATTGGCACCAAATCAGCAAAGAAGCTATCGAATTCAAGCTCATGTTCCGAGTTCATATATTGAAAATGTTTTAAAACGCCTGTTTTTCTTTCTTTGCATTGCTCATGCTTGTGATACGCAAAGGTGAGCACTCTTGCTCGCACAAGTTATATTGCACAACTGCCTCTATTCGCTACCTTA